ACCGTCGGAAAGCCTGGCCTGTTTGTTTCTCATCTGCAGGCCATCTCTGCCCCTTGCATTGTTTCTAAGATTTTTTTCCCTTTGTTTTTTGCTTACTCACCATAATATATGGTGAGTGATATGTTTATATGTGGATTTAATTTTATTCCTTCTTCACTGTTTCATAATCAAAGGACTTGCATTTCTTTTCAATTCTGGAAAATTCTCAGACATTGGCTCTTTTCTTTGGTTCTCTCTCCCTACCATCCTTCCCTCTCTTTTTCTATTTTCTAATCCAGAACAGCATTTTTTAAATCAATGTTGTTGGAATTTCTCATTTTCTCTTCTATATTTCAATCCCTTCCTCCTTATTTTTCTAGCTCCTATTTCTCTAAAGGCATTTGGGGTATTTTCTACAGATGTACCTTCCATGCCTAGTTCTCTCTTCAACTATGTCTAATCTTCAATTTAAGTGGTCATAGAAAACATACTTTCTAATGTTTGGTTGTATACTGACCAAACGAATACACAATTAAGACACTAATTCTCAAGAACTGTACATGTAGTAGACATATGAAAAGAATATTATGTTGCAGTATAGTAAGAGCAGAACTGAAGATGTCTACAGGACTTATCAACAGAACATAAAGAATGACTGAATATGCCGAGGGAAAAAGGAAAACATTCATAGAGGACGTTACCTCTTAACTAGGTTTGAAATTTTCACAGGAGATATAAAGAATGGCATCCAAGTGGATGGCACAGCATGTGCCAAATCATCAATCTTTAGGGAACAGTAAAGAATTAACTGCAACTACTATGTGGATACATCTGCAGAGGTTGGTGAGAGATGCTAGTGAGGAAGGCCCTCGTGTACCATGTATGAAGTGTTTACACTGCATTCTCCTGGCAATGGGGAAGCAACAGAGGTGGTCAAGGAGGTGTAGGTAGAAGGAGAAAGAAGGCATAGAGGGAGGGAGGGAGGGAGACATGAACTTGGGAAAGCTAACCCTGTGGACATGGAATAAATTAAGACATAGGGAGGCTGGTTACAAGACAACTGCAATCTAAGTAGAGGTAATGTGAACTTGAGCTGAGTTAGTATCCATGGGAATGGAAAGGAGACTCTGAATCAGAGACACTTCTAAGATGGCCCACAGAGGGTTAGGCATAAAGACACCACGTTTTGGATTGGCAATCTGAATGGACAGTGAGACCATTAAACAGTGAGAAACTGAACTTTTGAAGCAACCAGAAAAAAAGTTCTATTCAGGGAATACAAGTTTTAAAAGGTATGGGATACATGCAGGCCGAAAGTCTGGTAGGCAGCTATAAGCACGTCTTTAAAGTTTGTCAGGCAGGGAGGTACTGCTTTGGAATCACCAGATGCAGCGAGTAACTGGGGACAATGAATGGCAGTGACTGGGAATCAGCTGGCGGTGGGGAGTGACTAAAACGTCAGTCGTGTCACAGTGACGACATGAGTTGTGAAGCCTGGTCACCAAAAACTGTGTTAAATCTACACAGAATATCTGAAATGGAGGCAGTTTCCAAACTTTCCCCCGATGGTTCTTTCAAATCTATTGTCTTTTAATTGAAAAAATAATTTGGTAATATAGTTTGTACTCAACATATTTTACTAAAATATTTTACTGTTATAATTTTATAATACCATATTTTAATACTATGTTATTAGTATTTTACTAGTATAGCAATTAAAAATTTAATAACAAAAATGTGTGTATGGCGATCTAATAAGAATCATCTAAGTACTTATTACAATGAATTAAAATACTTGATTTACTTATCTGTCCCCTCTTGTAGACTCTGACCACCTTAGACAGGGTGCTGCCTAACCCAATTTTCTATTCTGGGGATTTATCACAATACATGGCACAGAGTAAGAACTTCATATGTATTGGATGCATGGATGGATGCATGGATGGATGGATGGATGCATGGGGGTGCATGGGGGTGCATGGGGTGCATGGGGGTGCATGGGGTGCATGGGGGTGCATGGGGTGCATGGGATGCATGGGGGTGCATGGGATGCATGGGGGTGCATGGGGGTGCATGGGGCATGGGTCAGGCGGCATGGCGGGGTCATGGATGCATGGGGTGCGGACATGGTGCAGGGGTGCTGGGTGCAGGTCATGGGTCGATCTGGGGTGCATGGGATGCATGGGGGTGCATGGGGGTGCATGGGGGTGCATGGGGGTGCATGGGGTGCATGGGTGAGTATGAGTACATGAACTGAGCAAGCTCAAAACTGGAGACCGTTTTTCCTACTTAACCTGCTATAGCATATACTGACTAAAACACTGGGTAAATTCTTAAACATAAGCAAACTCAATCAATAAATAATTATATAGTTATTTTGTGCCTCTAACTTATCAGCTCCTCCACATCAGATCTGCAGTCCATGCAGAAGAAAGACAGCTTAGAAATATGAAGGGATATATGTGTAGCAAAGTCTGGAATGTGTAGGACATTCTGATACACTTGCACAGAGTTGTCTTCAAACTAGTGACATAAATATATATGGAGAATAGAATTCACTTTAAAAAAAAGTGAAACTGGAAGCTTTCACACAAAAATACATATTGAGATCAACAAATTTCTATAAGAAATCAAATAAATGTAATAACTGACCTACATATAATCATAATTGAGACTTACAGAAGCTGTATTAGCATCTTAATTTTTCTATAATAAAATATGACACACCTGTGTAATACGTCTTTAAATGTTCAGGCTTACTTTATAAGTATGTGAATAATAATAATGATAATGATGATGATGATGATGATGTCACTTGCTTGGAAAAATTCAGTATTTTATTGCCAGTGGAAAGTTCCAAGGAATGAAGGAAATTATAGGCTTTTCATTTGTTTTTGGAAACCTACAAATTAAAAATAGAAACCTCTTTCAAAAGTCAGACTACAAGCCCTGTGCAAAGAAAAAAGCCAACTCAATGGGAAAGGTGGTGAAATGTTAATCTACCATTCCACACGCTCCTTTGTCAAGAAATGTCATAACCTTTCAGCTAGCCAGGCCAAAGGCAGCACTTTCTTAACCTGAGATTTTATGAAGCTTTTAAAGTAAGCAGAGGCAGTTTTCCTTTGTGATAACAAAGCCCAGGAGATTTCAAACTTACGTGTGGAAAAATGTTCCCATCCTCGATCATGATGTTTCTACTCTCAAACTCATCTTCCACAAGGACAACCAGAAAGGTGAGCAGTTTTGCCATGGCAGAGCTGATGGCATGGAAATGGCCCCGTGTTCTATAGTCTTTTGGATGTCCATCTAGCCATTCAACCACACACTTTGGGGCAGCGGTGGGGGGCGGTCCCCCAGTGTGAGTATGGAAACCTCAGAAATCAAAGTCCCCAGAGGGACATCTTGGAACATGCAGACTGCTAAAGCTCGCTCTGTTCCATGGACACAGCATCCCCTGGGGTGAAGCCCAGGAATACTCATTGTTAACAAGTTCAAATGGAGTCTGCAATCTGCTGTTCTAGAGATTGCTTTTGATAATCTGAAGCTTCTGCAACACCAGCGTCTCACCTCTAGGTGGCAGCATCTGTGAATTGTTGAGTGACATTGCAACGTTGAGTGTCAATATTCAAAGACTGACTTTCAGAAAAGGAATTTCAGGGTGGATTTGGGTGACTGAACCATAGCCCTAAATCCTGTCGCTACATAAGAAAAACGTGGCAGAATAGATTTTACATAATTTAAACCTCCAACTCAGACTTTTTATCATGAACACAATTAACTGGCTATTCTGGTATAGATAGGTAAAACTTTCTGTAACTCATTTAAAGTGTAATGTAAATTATAAATTTTAAGGCAAGATGTTATAAGAAATCAAGGCAGATTTCTTGCCTTGATTACTTAAATCATACCTCCCAAGGATCACACAGATCAGCAGTCAACAAACACTTTCTACCAAGGGCCTGAGAGGAAATATTTAAGTGTTTACAGGACAGATGGTCTCTGTCACAATTATTCAATTCTGCTGTTGTCACCCAAAAGAGACCACAGATGACACATATGTATATGAATGAGTGTGGCTGTGTTGCAATAAAAATTTATATATGAATACTAAAATCTGAATTTCATAAAACTTTCATGTGTCTCAAAATAGTATTACTTCCTTACTTTTTTTCACTGTATGGACTGAATGTCTGTGTCACCCCCCAAAATTCATATGTTGGAATCCTGATGCTGGATATAATGGCAGTGGGGCCCCTGGGAGATGCTTAGGTCGTAACAGCGAGGCCCTCGTGCACGGGATGAATGTTCTTACAAACGAGACCCCACAGGGTTCCCTCAGCCCTCCGCTGTGTGAGGGCCCAGCGGGCCCTTATCCATCCAGCCATGTGGGCCCCTGACCTTGAACTCCAGCACCGTGAGAAATAAATTTCTATTGTTTATAAACGACTAGCCTGTGGTATTTTGTTACAGCAACCTGAGTAGACTGAGACACCAATCATTTCTAAAAAGTAAAAGCTATTCTTAGTTCTTGCACCAGCAGCAGGCCAGGTCTGGTGTCTCTGGCGTTGACGTGCAGACCCCCGACATTAGTTCCAATTGGTGGAGCAATGTGAACTGGTAGTAACTGAGGTATTCAAAATGGTTTTTCAATGACTTTTTTGAATTCAAGAGTTTAGTACAAGACAGATGCCTTCTCATGAAATAGAGGATTAAAGAAAATTAAACAAACCAATACAAAGTCACACAACAAAACTGGGAATTCTGATGCAGGGTTGATTTCCAGATGGTCATTCTACCAAACGGTACTAGGTCAAATATAGGCGTAGGCCAAATATTTACAAACACATCCAACCTTCCTTCTGGTGCAGCCAAGCTATTATATGAAGGAGGGAAGGGGGGAGTTACGGGAGCCTACGACACCACACGAGCAGAAACAAGGATACAATGTGGTCAGCAGGCGAATGCGTGAACCTCAAATAGATGGAGACCTGAATCTCCAACAGGAAGCCAGCTAGTCCTACCTGTTGTGTCTTGACTCAGGGTTTCCTGGCTGCTGCTACTGTAAGAAGGCACTGGAGTGATGGACAGTGAGGCTGGGCAGGACAAAGGCGTGGCCAGCTCAGTCTTGCGGGTGAGGGTCTCGTGATACACGGGGATGCCTGCATCTTTGGAGATGAAGAGAGGCAGATCTGACGGGAGGGTAGGTCTGCCTTGAGCGTAAGGATTTTTCCAGTGGGTGAGCCCAATCGCAACAGGCCCGGAAATGTCATAACCTAGAGAGACAAACACATTAGGTCAGGAGCAACAATAGAAGCTTTATGCTATAGAGCTTTTTATCAGCGAGTCAAATCAAACAGCACTTGAGATAAGAATAAACGCACTTTACAAATATGCAGGCTAAAATCATCACACTTGGCAGACCTTGTTCACTTATTCGACTTACGTTTCTTTGTACATACTATGTGCTAGGGGCCCAGTCAGTCCCACTAAGGAGCTCAGAGTCTAGTAAGGACAGTTTGTGGGGTAATAGGCCCCACTTCCGAACAATTTTCTGAATAACTTTTCACTGAAGAATCTTGGTTGACCAGAATTCGCAAGGAAGGGGGAACTTTAGAACAGGCTGACTGGACTGTTTGAACCCTCCTTAGCAGGTGACCTTCCTAAAAGGTGACCAACTGGAATGCAGCGGAAGTGACTGAATCTTTCCTGAGCAAGAGCTCTGGGGCCTCTGGAGAGATTCGGCAGGAACACAAAGTCTCAGTGTTCGGACTACAAGGAACCAGGGCGACACTGGGACACTGGGGTGAACATGACTGACCCAGGACTAGCCCTGAGTGTGTTTGCTCGACTGGACTTGACTGATGCAAATTCATTTCTTGGGATCAGTATTCTGGGATCTCCCACACCCACTAAGAGTGTACTGGGTCATAGAAGTGAAACTCCAGAATGCTCTCTCTAAATCCATGTTCCATTATGTTTTTATTAAAAATGCGAAAAACATATTACTTTCTATTTACACCAGGGAATTCTTTTGCAAGAAGAATAATTACAGGGCCATGTTTTTCCCTTGCCTGGGTGCTTTCTTCAGAAACTCACTTAGGTCCCTCCTCTCTTTCCATATCCCCAAGCTCCTGAGGGTTCATTATCGCAGAACAGACCACGGCAGGAAGCGTTATGTGTAGCAGTCCCAAGGAACTGTGGGCTATCCACAATTTCAGGTTTTACACAATCGCATTTTTAAAAATAAAATTACAGCTGATTTATAGCACATACTTAATTTTGAAAAGATATTGTTCACATAGCTAACAAGCTTTTTTTTTTAAGTTTAGGAAATTATTACACTTAATCCAAAATGGTGTTCATTAGCCAATATTTTGACCCATGTTATTGATAAAAATGAGGTAGGATAAGACCAGCACAATTATGTTGGAATCAGCCTGAATTTAAAAGGAGCAATGAGGTCAAGGTCTTTTGAGAGGACCACCAACCATCCAGAAGAACAGCTGGAGTCCGAGTACCAGGAGGCAAGTTACGGGAACGTCGCATTGGTGGCCTGCCCCTCTCCCTCACCCACCAGCCTGACCCCGGCGGGGAGTGGGGCGCTGCTCTCTTGGAGGCCTATCACCTGCCAGACCCCGAATCACGAAGAGAGACGTGTAAGCAACACTTAAAATTGCGGGCTGTCTTAAGAATGATGTTAACTACAAAGTTTTACAATCTCTCATACATGGGTAAAATGGGAGCTTACTACCAAAAAATAAGGAATTATCTAAAGGTCTCATGGATAAACAGATTGCAGAAGGAATCATTTTTCTGTTTCTGGAAATTTTCTGGCACCTGCTGTGGGCAGGACATGGATTCCTACAGGAAATCCACCAGTGTGCTATTCCCTGAAGTGAAATCCCCGCACAAGGGTGACACTGCTGTGTGAGACGACTCTTCTGTAAGCACAGAAGTGCAGGAGATGAAGGACAACAAAAGGGGCTTTTCAAAAAGGACTCCTTGGAGAACCAGCCATCTGTCTTCCCTCCAGTACTCTGGGTCTGAGGTTGTTGATTATTTTCTACTTTTACAATAAAGATTACAAAAGTGCTTTGTGCTGAACAGACGGTGGGCGTTGGCCCTGCCCGGACGTAGAATCTCTCCACTCTTCTCCACCCAACAAAGTCCTATTTCATGTGGGGAGTCATCTCGACCCTGCTCAGCCACGTGACTCAGGGGAGGTGGACCTCGCCCTCACCTCCATCTCCCTGAGGGAGGCTCTAAAGAGCATCTCATCTCCCTTGCCAATGATTGGTTCAAGGGAGGGTGATCACGTGACCCAATCCCACCCAATGAGATAGGAGAAGGCAATGAGGCGCTACAGAGGGAAGCTTCTCAGTTCCGCAAGTGAAAGCGGAAGGGAGGCACCGAAGCTGCTTCCCCTCTGATCACTGCTGTGTCTAAATGCAGTCCTTGGCACCATGGCAGCCATCTGGCTGCCACCACGAAGATAAACTCTCTGAGGAAAGCAAAGGGGAGAACGGTATGTCACATCATCACTGGACAGCTCACTCCACCTGCCCGCAGGACAGGCCTGCCCCTGGCCATCCTATTATGTGAAATAACGCGTCCCCTTATAGTTTCAGCCATTGTCGGGGAACAGAAGACACATTCAGGGACCTTTCATTGTCCCATCACCTCTGAGAAAACTGTCGTACCCACCTCCCCTTCACTGGCAATGACGTAGGTCAGTACGAACCTGTTACGTTCGTTCCCGGGGGCGCCTGTACCAAAGTACCGAAACCCGGTGGCTTAAAGCCCCAGAAATGTATCCGTCACAGTTTCGGAGCTAACAGTGTAGAGAAGCAAGCTGTCAGGAGAGCCCAGCTCACTCCGAAATCCCTACAGCGGAATCCGTTCCATGCCTTTCTACAGCTTCTGATTTCGCAGAAAATACTTGGTATTCCTTCACTTACTGACACGTCGCTCTAATCCCTGCCCCCATCATCACAGGGGATCCTTACTGCATTTGTTCTCTTGTATACGGACATCAGTCATGGTGGATTAGGACTCACCCTAATCAAGTGTGACCTCACCTTAACTTACTCCATCTGCAAAGGCTCCATTTCTGAATTAGGTCACATTCACAGGTACCAGGCATCAGGACTTCAATACATATTTTTGGGGGAAGACAATGCAACCCATAACACCTTGACGTGGTGGCCAAAACTAACTGGACCATGGCCGGCCACTCTGCAAGATGACAAGTGGCAAAAGTCTTGTCCAATGGGAGACAGATCAGCTGGGCTCTAATCCCAGCTCTTACTACCAATGTCTCTTCAAGTGGCTTTCTTAATCTCTATAGAATTTAGTTTGCTCATATGTTTAAAATGGAGAACATAACAGCATCTACCTTAGGACTGTTGTGAGGATTAAATGAGGAAACAGAGAAAAAGTATCTAGAACAGTGCTTGGCACACAGAAAGCTCCCAGGGCATTGTCCACCAGATGCCCTCACTACTGACACCTCCGCCTTCACTGAGACGTGTCTTAGAAGAGAAGTCTCTGTCACTGTTCACATTCCTTATTCAGAGCTTTGCAGCCTGCTCCCCATCCCATGATCCGCTGACATGGCTCTTGGGGATGTCACCAGAGCAGACCCTAATTTGAACACTCCGCAGCCTCCCCTTCTAGAAATTCTTGGGACTTCCCAGGAAATGTGCTCGGTTTATTTCCTACCACTGTCGTTATTTCTGCCCCAATGGTGCCTCCCCCAGAGATTGGCGCTTGGCCCTCTTCATCTCCGGCCCATCTCCCCTCACTTCCCATTTCTGGTGGGGCATTTCGAGGTGAGGGCGGTTTCATGGACACCTCAGACCCAACCTGTCTAATCTGTGGCCACCACATCCTCTTCCTGACTTCCAGATTTCTAGGAAGGGTTCAGACTCCCTGGGACCCTGACTCAAAATCTCAGGGCACATTTGTCTTTCCCCAGATCCACTCAGTGACTAGTCCTGGTGACTCCTCCACGTGGTCCCCTCCTGACCTGCCTTTTATCTCACCTCCCAAGTTCCTTACTGTCTGGTGGCAAGACTACAGTCATAGTCACTCTCTCTGTTATGACACCAGATTCTCTCACATGAAATCCATTCTGTTTGCCCCTAAAAAACCCTTTCATCCATGAGTTCATCTTGTCACTCTCCTAGTCTGAACTCAAAGTGGCCTCCCAGTGCTTAGCACATGTCTTTAGGAAGACGTTTCAGGTTATTTAGTGTTTTCAAACCAGGGCCCAGGAGCAAGAACTTTTCTAATTTTTCATTTAAAAGTTAATTGAATCACCTAAAAATGAATAGATACCTACTGTGAACCATGTTCTGTCACATAATTTTAGTGCCTGGGTTTGCTTTTGGGCTTCCATCAAGTTGAAACTGACTGACACACTCAGCGAGGGAGGGAGAGAGACGGATACGTCACGGCACATTCGTGTCACTGAGGGGACCACAGCCTTGCCTGAGTGAGCACGGACAGGGATGTCACAGCAGGCTGAACAAAGAGGGGTGGTGGCAGAGCACAGCTGTCACCAATACCCAGCAGCATTGACCGGACCGGCACCTCTGCAGGTCCCGCGGTGCCTTACAAGCATGTCTGCATTCTGGCAAAATAACAGCAGCCACCGTATTAAATTAGTGTGGAAAGTTTCTTTTCTTCTTCTTTTTTTTTTTTTTTTTTTGCCTTACAGTATTTTAAAATGCATTGGTAAATTTGATTTTATTTGTATGGCTAATTGAAATATAGGAATACACTTAGTTTTATGTCTGAACCTTATAGTAAAAATAATTTGAATCCATTTGAGAGGTTCATAATTAGCATTTCTTTTTGCAGGGGTCCCCACTGCTGGAATTTGAGAAACCGTGAGCTTTCGTGTCAAGCAGGCCTACATGCCAACCTTGGGCACATGTGTTTCTGGCCGGGAGGCAAAAAGCAGGTTTCCTCATCTGCAGAATGGGGAAGTAAGAGTACCTTCCTCGGAGAGTCCTGCTTAAGTGAAATAATATATATCAAGGGCCAAGAGCAACTGGCACGTAAGAAGAACAAATAGTGTCAGCTGCGATTATCACCAGCATTTTTTTTCTTCTAAGGCAGTGGCCAAGATTCTGGAAACAAAAAAAAAATGTGAAAGGGTGTGGAAGGGAGAGGATGGATTCAGCAAACAGAAAAGTAATCAGGGTCACGCTGCCCTTTTTGACCAAAAAAAAAAAACACGTGTCAGGCTGAGGAGGAAGGTAGCTGGGAAAGGGGGTTTGGTGAGCACAAAGCGCCCCACCGTTTCCTGGAAGGGTCCCCCATCAAACAGGGGAGGGATAGAAAGCAACTGGCCCGGACTGCAGACTTCAACTTTCTGCGAAGTCAGGGGACGGGGCCACCGGTGCACACAGCAGAGCTAGCACTCAACAGGGCTGATTTGTTGTTGTTGTGTGCATACATCTCGTACGCATTTAGGGAAACTAATGTACATTTTCTACTTATGGTGGTGATATAAAACTTCTTTTTAAACTAGGTGGACATACATATTAAAAACTAATCCAGTCTTAATATCAAGCACACAGTCATGCAGGTGATACACCAATGAAAGAGTTAAAGCAAAAGACGAAGATTTGGGCAAACCCAGATTTTTGAAATCTCTCTGGACCACCCTGCCTCCTCTGTCCTTTTCTGTGTAAATGCGGTGAGAGTCCACAAGAGGGCGCCCAAGAAGTGCATCCACAAGCAAGTGCTGATTCTGAAAATAAATGCTCATGTGATTGCATTTTCTACTCACTCCTTCCTTAGTGCTCAAACCCCCCATTCCTCCGGGCAATAATGAATTTAACAAAATAACACACTTTCTCACCTATGGTGATCTGGCTGACACAGCTGTAGTAGCTGCCCGTCGTGGTGGTGGAAAGGTTGTAACTCCCGCTGCTCATGTCTTTGTCTGTTAAGAAAATAAAAGAGGTCAATTATATTCTGGGAGACCGTACGGCCACAGGGTAACTATATGACTGTGTCAATGAACCAGCTTTCTGCATCTCATATTCCTCCAGGCATCATGCTTAGTGGGCGCCAGGCACTCAGAACATTTGAACAAACAACCCACATAGACGATTTCAATTCAATGTCCCAGTCATTATAATGGAGTCTGAAGAGTGCTGCGGGGTCGGGTGGGGGTGGCGTGGGAAACTGGACAGGAGGGCAGGAAGACTCCTCTAAGGGGCACCTGCAATAACCCGATGAGAAGCGAGCACAGAGGGAAGTGGATGAGACTCCCTCCAAGGCCAAAAGTGTAACAACAAACTGCCCTGGATTCCCCAGGACTGTGAACAGGGGGTGTTCTAGAGAGAAGGGGCAAAAGAAATGCAAATCTCACATTTACATAACCTCTTAGCATTTCACCCACATCATCTCCTGCACCAGGTACAAAGGGGCAGACTCCACCCCACATCAGCCATGGAAAGGCTGAGACTCCCACCAGCGAAGGGCCTGGCCAGAGGTCACACTACGGCGGCATGTGGCAGAACAGAGCTCAAATCGAGATGAGACCTGCTTCTAATTGTTTATGAAACATGGTAGGGCATAAGCAACTGATTTCAAAACATCAAAATCAATACATAGTATCATCTGATATAGAACACTACAGGTCAGAGACAAAGAATCATTATAGTAATAGTTGCAAAACTCGCCTGAAATATCAGAATGTTTTACGTGATACTGGAAAATTTTGAAACCCTGATCTGTAAGGTGAAAAGTATAGGTGTGAGGGAGAAAATAATTATAAAGAACTCGCCAAATGCATTCAGAGAAGGGATTTCTGGAAACAGATTTGAAAGAGAGTGTTGTGAAGCTGGTGGAGAAGACGGTTTCGTAGGTTAGCGCTGTTAGTCGTGAACTGCAGGCCCCGGTCACAGGAGGCAGGAACTGGCAGTCGTCTGCAGGGGCGGCTGCATGTGACCGGGTGTGAAAGCAGCTGGAAAGTACTGACAAGAGCAGATGGTGAGCCCAAGAACAGAAACACAGTGGTGGCCCTCACCACAGGCCCACAAACAGGGAGGGAAAATGTGAAAAAATATTTTAAGCTATTTTAAAGCGGGAAATACAATTCTAGCAAGTGCGTGTGTGGCCAACTCCTCCTCTGAGGATCATCCCCAGACCTTCTCCACTCTCCAGCATCCTTCCTGAGGAAGGGGCACGCCGCAGCAGCGCTGAGCAGCTGGGATCGTGCCCGCACGCCTCGGACACAGTGCGGGTCCGGGTCCAGACCATGGCGCTACAGCCGGTATCACAATAAGGCAAGGCACACAGATTTTCTGGTTTCCCAGTAGACTGCAGTCTAAGTGCGCAGTACCATCGTGTCTAAAAAATGTGCATAACTTAATTAAAAAATATTTTATTGCTAAAAAATAACCATCATTAGAGACTGTTGGAATAAAGTTGCTGATAGGGTTGCCACAAACCTTCTATGTATAAAAAACACAGGATCTGTGAATGGAATATTATGCAGCAGAAAGAAAGATGGAGCTCCTACCCTTTGCAACAGCATGGATGGAACTGGAGAGCATTATGCTGAGTGAAATAAGCCAGGCGGCGAAAGACAAATACCATATGATCTCACCTTTAACTTAGTCAACAAAAGAAAAAAGCAAATGAAATATAACCAGAGACATTGAAATTAAGAACAATCTGACAGTAACCAGAGGGGAGATGAGAGGGGATAATGGAGGGAAGGGTTTTCAGGAATTACTATAAAGGACACATGGACAAAACCAAGGTGGGGGGTGGAAGCAAGGGAGGGAGATGGGTTTGGGTGGGGGAGGGGGAGGGGTAAAAGCAGACAACTGTAATTAAACAATATTTTAAAAAACCACAGTATGTGAAGTGAAACAGAACAAGGTATGTCTGCACAGTTCCCCACTATCCAAAAGTAGAGCATTCTAATGAAAGCTATTGTAAGCCAAAATGGACTAAAAACAAAGAAACAATTACCGTTCATCTAAAAGCAAAAATCCTCTTCAGGTTTCTTTCAGTTAGCAGAAATAGGTACCGATGTTGGTCTTTCATAAAGGCAAAGTGGCATGACGTGAACTTTTAAAAAGCAGCGGCTACCTGTACTGGTTTACAAGTCTCCAAAACCATGTGCTTGGCCAGGGCAGACCCAGGGACGCTTTGCTGGTGTCATTCCCCGAGCCTAGAACCGTCCCTGGCATAAGGCAAATCCTGAACACATGTTCATTGGTTGAAAGAAAAAAGGAGCGCCTGAGATTAAAGAATGAACAAAGGGCCATCCCCCCTCCCTCTAGGTGGCAACTTCATTAGAGGCTGCTGAGATCACAGAGGAAAAGCAGCAGGTTGGGAAGTAGCCGGTTCTGCTGCACACAGACTCTTTGAACTTGGTCAGACAACGCTTGGCTTTTATGAAAGACCCACATTAGTACCCGTTTTCACTATCCAGAAGAAAACTGAAGATGATTTTTGCTTTTAAATGAATGGTCATTGTTTCTTCACTTTACTCCATTTTGGCTTCTTTTCAGTATTGTATTTTCTACCTGAAAACAGTGATAGTAATACTTATCTAACTTTGGGGGGGGTAGTAGGGGAGGGATGAGGTATGGTTAACAAAAATAATTCAGCTGTACAAATGCATAGTTAGCAAATAACTCAGTATATATTTGTGGAATGAGCTGAATCGACAAAATTCAGACCTAAAAGCATATCAAACTGCTCTACTCTAAAGTTGTCATTCCTAATTCTTTTTAAACACTTCGCTCATAATCTATCCTGAAAAGATTTTGGAAGTGAGGAGACCTGCAAGGGACAAGGTCAATGGCACCAAAGGTGGCAAGAGAGAGAAAGCAGGGAGGGAGAGAAAAAAGCAGAGAGAGACTGACTAAGGTTTACAAGCACAGAAATGCCTAAGGGTGGGGGGAAGAAAAGACAAAGGAAGGAGGAAAACATACTGAGGAATTAGTAATCAACAAAGAAGCAGAGTACTTAAATTCAGAATGAATGCCTGGAAGAGGCTATGAATAAATTTATTGGTAAAACTATTGAAATATAGCCCTGGCTGCTGTGGCTCAGTGGGCTGAGTGCCAGCTTGAGAACCAAAGGCTCCCTGGATTGATTCCCAGTCAGGACCCACGCCTGGGTTATGTGCCAGGTCCCCAGTAGGGGGCGCGTGAGAGGCAGCCACACATCGATGTTTCTCTCCCTCTCCCTCCCTTCCCCTAAAAATAAATAAAATAAATCTATTTTAAAAATAAAACTATTGAAATATGAATCATATCTGACTGGTAAAACTAGGGCATAATTTTGGTGGCAATACTCCAAAAAGACTCAAAGAGCAAAAGCACAAAGGCAGGTGGCTGTTACAAGGTAACTCTGAATAAAGAAAGGTGTGTCCTCTGTGTAGGAATTAAACAAAGATGCAAGATTGCACAGGAGAGCTTAAATATCCACTTAATCCTTTAGGAACCAGCTGCAGTTACATTTTTGAAAATCAGGTAACTAATGGCAAAACTTGAGACTCTGAATGAGATCCATAAACTTGGTGATCCTGGAGTCAGTATTTAGATTCGAAACCTGGTGCCAACCCTTGGGGACATTATTTCATCTCTCTCTGGCTCCATTTCCTCGCATGTACAATGGGAATAATAAAGGCTCCTACCTTAAAAGTCAGAACGCAAAAAGTGTTCATTTAATGCTAGCTATTTTCATTTTATACTTAAAAAGACCAAGGCTATCCATAAATTGGAATACCCTACAGCAAAAAAAATGAAGCCCCACCAAATATTATGGATGGATCTCACAATCATAATGTTATGTGAAAAAGGCAACCCAAAACAATACAGGATTCTATTTGTGAAAACTTCACAACGAACTAAAGTCTATTCTTGACAGAGGCATTCGGGGATGGTAAAAAGGTAAAGTATCCCAATAGTCAGCACAGAAGTTGGCGTGGGGCTTCCCCGGGGTAGGGAAGAAGGATGCGGGAACTGCAGAAGAGCAGGGGAGTGCAGAGCGGGCTCCGTGCTGCTGGGACGCTTGGCTTCTTGTCCAAGGTGGCGGTCACACAGGGGTCACTATGTAATTATTTGTTGTAGTATAAATTTGTCTTACCCACCTGTCTGTATGTAAGGCACAGCACACGATAATGTTTTGTTTAAGAAATAAAGAGGGGCAGAAATCACGGCACAGCCAACCAGAAATGTAAATTCTGATAAAAACAAGCAAACAAAATGAGAAGGCGGTAGACTTCCATGACTTTCTTTTTGCCAGACACTGTGCTAAACATTCGTTATTTCACTTGCATCCATTATTTAATTTAAGCTTCAAAATTCGCTCAAGGGAGCTATGATTATCCACCACCCAGATGAGGAACCAGAGGGTGGCAGAAGGAAGGAACCGGATCTGAGTCACACTTCTGAAGAGTCGAAAAGCGGGAATTAAAGCCCAGGTTTATCTTGACTGGGCGCACATTTAAAGGAGAGGCAAAGTGTGGAGAACAGGACCAATAAAAAGCCATTGGTCCGATCAAGAGAACATAAAGTATAAAACACAAAGTGGAGTCACTCATGTCAACCAACATGGCTGTCAGCCAGCCATGACACTTTGGTCCAAGAGGGAAACCACCTAGGTCAGAGCAGGCACAACTGGCAAGGAGACACACCTAAGATATCCGCACACGGGGTCAGAGTGGCCATGTCTGCGGAGGGGGACCACCCATAGATAGGCTCCTGGGCAAATTCCCCACTTGGCATCAGGGTTGCCAAGACACTTATTGAAAAGACCCAGAAGGCCAGAGTCCACCACTTCCAAGGTATAAGGGAGGCAGGTTGCGGACCACTGCTGAGACAGCCGAGCTCCACACACCAGCCTGCTGCTCCCCGCCATGCTGATCTCCCTGGGCTTCCCCTGCTGGAGGCTCTGCCCTGCCGGACTGAGCACTTTGCCCTGCCGCGCACCTGGCTCCGGAGATCCCTCCCTGCAAGATGCTGTCTCCTCAACCTGCAGACTGAGACTCTGGGACTCAGGTTCATGATCCCCCATTGATTGCTGTGTGCTACAATTCTCCGAGATTGTTAGAGTGTGAGTAGGATATTAATGTGTGTTGATGTTCTGCTCTGAGCGAACCTGCACTCAATAAAAGCTGAGTCAATATCACGCTTACTGTGTACAACTGCTGTCTGTTCCCTGGTGCCGGCTGCTCAGCAGGCAGCGAGCGGAGCAGTGGCCTGGCTGACTCCCAGCACAGACTGCAGGGCAAACCTGCGCTCCCGACACAGAGACAGAAGGAGGACAGATGACTATCGCAAGCCGGCTGGGCTCATTCCCGCCGTACCTGGTTCCAGGCTGTTGACGGTCTTTTATCTGACGTGCTGATAAGTACCAAGGTTC